GGGTGGGGGTGTGGTCAGGTGGGCATGGGGCAGGGAGCAGGGATGCACACGCGTGTCGCCAGCCGCTGAGGTGGTGCGTGGCATCGTGGGTGGTTTGTGCGCCCCGGCTCGCCGGCGTCGCCCTCGCTGCGCCGGCTCAGCACGTCGACCCGTCGCGCCAGCTGGGGCGGCAATCTGGTGCTGGATCAGCCGCACACATCTCGTAAACTGCGCCCCAAAACACCCCACCATCATGGCTGCGGCTGCAACACCCGGTCACGGCAGGCCAACCCCGGACCACGGCCCACCCGTGAGGACGCAGTCCACGTCGCTGGCGGGTGTGTACAGGCCAGTGGCGTAGGACCCATACACCTCTAGCTTGCAGCCCGGGAAGATGCCCGCGGCCACCGCGGCCACCTCCGCCACGCTGTCGCGGCGCGCGGACGACTCCTAAGGGGGGATGGGAGGCAGCGGCAGCGGCAGCGGCAGCAGCGGCGGGCGCGGTTGAGGGCCCCTTGGTGTGCCTCAAGGGCCGCCCCGCGTGCGGAATTGGAGTCGCACCTGCACAGCCGCACAGCCGCAAGCCGAAGCATCAGCATCAGCCACACACGAGCATCAGCCCCCCTGCACACGGTGAGCCGGCCGCCAAGCCCCGCTGTGTGGCTTCATGAGCGACGGAGAATTCCTTGCCCCCAAACATATAACTATGCGCACACACACACACGCACGCACACACACACACATGAATACACACACACACCTCGACCGTGGGCTCCAGCATCTTGCAGAAGCACACAATCTCATTGTGCAGCTTTAGGCTGGGGCTGCGGAACCCAGCCACCGCACGGTGCCACGGCGGCTGGTACCCAAACGCGCGGCCCTCGCGGCGCGCGGCCGCCTCTGACGGGTCCTCCTCACTGTCAGACGCCAGGCCGGCCGCGGCGGCCGCCTCGGCGCTCAGCCCCAGACCGATGAACTCCGGCTCCTCCTCCTCCTCTGGCTCGTCTGCCGCCTCCTCCTCCTGCTGTTCCCCCTCCTGCCCCTCCTCGTCAGACCCCCCCTCGCCCCTGCCCCGCTGCTCGCGCTCCCGCTCCTGCTGCTGCTGCGCTTCGTCTGCGCTTCTCCGCCGCCGCTTCTTCTTCTGCCGCAGCTGCTCCTCCTCGTCCTCTTCCTCGTCCTCCGACTCGTCCTCGTCATCGCTGGACCCCAGCTCAATGAAGAAGCCGCCGCCATTAGACGCCTTGTCTGCCGGCTGCTGCTCTTGACCTTCTTGCTCCTCTTTCTGCTGCTGCTGGTCGCGGGGGCCGGCCCCAGGGTGCGATAGGACCGCTAGCTGAGCTATCTCCTGCGCGGGCGCGAAGGGGTCCAGGCGCGCGCGCGGGGCGCAATTGTGCTGAGTTGGTGGCGAGGCCATCGGCAGGGGCCCTGCAAGGCACGCTATGCCGTGCTGCGGGGACGAGTTAGCTTTATTGCATTTATTCACGTCACAACCGCAATGGCAACGTCGCCAGGTCAGCACACGCCCCACCTGTGGGTCGAGGCCCTCGTCAGTGCCGCCGCCCAGGGAGCCGAATCCATCGTCGTCCAGGCACGCCGCTGCCGCGCCACCGCCGAGGACGCCGCCCCTGTATATGTGAAACTTGTAGGCTGTGCCGCCAAAGTTGATCTTCTGCTGGCCGCCGTGCTGCGCCATGGCCGCGTGTGTGCGGCAGCTGTGGCTCGTACAGGCTAGGGGCGGCGAATGCGGTGCTGCTGCGCTGCGCGACCGTCAACTGCGGGCCGCGGCACCAGCCTGCCACACCACCAATAAACCTAAGCCTCTAATTAGGTGACTTCGATGCCTGGAACTGCGAAGCAAAGACTGTTTGTGCAGTGAGCGGATGGGTCTGTGTGGCGATCTGGTCTACATCGCCAGTCTGTGTAGAAATACATTTATAAAACAGTAAGGCTCAGATGTTATTCATTCTTGAAGCTGCGCGTCAAACATTACGGTAGACGGCCCCCGCACTCGGCAGCTTCAATGCTGACAGCATGGGACGGCCCGTCCCGGGGTCGTATCACAATTGCTGCCTGGTATCACAGCTAATATTGCAAGTTTAGGCGCTGCAGAGGGTCTGCACATGCGTTGGCGGCAGGCTGGGCGGCTTCTGAGTTCAGTTGACCCCGCCCGGCCGCCGGCATCCATTTTCCACCTAGTGGTTTGGGCCGTGGGCCCGCACACAATCGCCCCCGACGACCTGGCCCAGCTTGCCTTGCCCCCGTGCGGATCCCCACTCGCTTTCCGAGGTTGATGTGCACCCCCCTCATCCCGCCTCCGGCAAGATGGATATGATAAGCAGTCCACTGGACTGCGGCGGCCACTGGCCTGGTGTGCGGAACCGTGCGTGTCGTGCACAACGGGCGCCGGTTCGTAGCAAGCGCCGGGCCAGCCGGAGTCCTTGAAACCTCACATGGGAGGCGAGGCCATCAGGGGCCGAGCTGCGCTTGCCCTGCCCACCCGTGTTGTATGTTTCTGTGCATGCTCATCTGTCACTGTGTGCTGCGCGAGAAAATATTTGCATACTGGCATCTGCTGACCAACAGTTATCAATCAATCTTTCAAGGGTATGATATTGGAACTCAAGGCAGGCCCATGCTCAGGCCATGCGGTAACCTGCGCCACTGGGAAACGCCACATAATTAACAAGGAAGCAGATCACCCGCAGCAGTACTAACAGCGGTCCAAAACCCAAGAGAGTGAGCTTGGCCGTCTTACCGTCGTCCAGCATCTGTGTAGCTGATCAGGGCCAAATATGTGCGGTCGTTGCCTGCCTGCCAGAGCTAAATGCGCGTGATGGTGGCTAGCAGCAGCAACCCACACCTATCACGTTTGTTGATGGGAATGTGCACAGCCTTGTGGATTTGCAAAGCCTCGGGCCACCTCTAAGCTGTGACTGCTGTGGAGTCGCCCCTGTCAATGCCAAGCGCGCTCCATGTGCGCAGGCGGCTCCAGAGGTGCTGGCCTGCATCACCAGCAGGAAAGTCCTGCTGGGACAGCGTCCACCAGCAATTTGGTGTTGGGAGTTGCCCTTCTGCTTGCAACTTTGTGGGGAGCGCATCTGCGTCGCACTTTTGTCTGGTGTGGCGCACGATCCGCTGCACCAACAGCTATTGCTGCTGGCATGCTTGTCTACCTAAGGCCATGACAGGGGTTACTCGTGTTTGCAACTGCTGTATGCCTGCCTTTCTTGATCCCTAGTTGTTGCGTTGATGAAACGGACGACGTGCAGAAATGCGTGACGACAGCAGAGCGCCGCCCATGTGATGGCAATGATACACGCAGAGAGGTGGTGTGGCCATGGGACTTGCTTCACTGGTATGAACAGACGGACAAGAGAGAAGGGTGCCGCAGCCAACAAACAAAGCAAAGAGCGGTGCGCAAGAGAGGGCACTGAACCTCAACAGCGCTGCACAGAGGTCAGTGCAAGTACACAGTGTCTACTACCAGCCGCCCTCACACCGATGCAAGAGGCGTACGCTCGCAAGGCCCAGGGAGGGCCCCCGCACCAACGTGCAGAGCCTGGCATCTGCCATCACAGACGCGCCACCCCACCTGGGCCCCAGGGCGCAGCCGCCCGTCTGTGGCACTGCCGGAGGGCTCATGTGAAGATGCGTGGCGGCCCGTCGCGCGCCACCACGAGGGTGTCCCCGCGGATGTCCTGGGCCACGCGCAGCTGATCGTCGACATACACGGTGTCAAACCAGCCCTGTTTGGGGATTGGGGGTTGGGAGGGTGGGAGGTCGCATGATGTGGGGGGCAGGGGCCCGTTTGAGACAAGGGTTGAGGGGAAGGCTTATTTGCCTTGTGGCAGTTGGGTGGCAAGCATGGGCATCTGGGTGTCCTTTTGAATACTGCCACGGCCACCCATACTCGCAAGGACACCCTATCATCCCTCCCAACAGACGCACACCTGCCCAAAGGGCGGCAGCTTGAAGTCCCTCGATGGAAGCTTGAGCTTCGCGCTGTTAAATTTGAACGTTGTGCGCTGGGGCCCGTCCACCTAGTGGGGGTGACGTCAGCCACAACCAGGCGTGATTGCAATTCGCTCACTCCGGCAAGGCGAAGAAAGCGCTGCACTGCGCGCGGAGCTTCCCAGGCGGCCGCTGAGCCCCTGCTGCCTGCTCATGCCTCCTGTCGCACCAACGGCGCGCGGTGTCCCCCCTCCCCCCACCCCCCGCTCACCTGGATACCGCTGTCGACGATGAAGGCACCCTGAGGTGGGAAAGTTACCACATTCTGCAGCCGCCCCGCGTCAACGTCAATGACCTGGCCGCCCCCAAGACAGCAAGGGCAGAAGCAGGGGTTGTCGACTCGTGTTGATCAGGGGGTTGGGAGACGCCGTGCATGGCTGCGATGGCACCGTGCATGCTCGCTGCTCAGACCTCGAAGCGCCCCTGGGCGGAATCTCCATAGCCCAGATGAGCAGCATCAATCATGATCACCTGGAAGACATCCCCGGCCTTGGTGCCAAACAGCCCCGAGTTCTGTATGATCCAGAGTGTCTCCTTCTCAGTGGTCCACACCAGCTTCCAGGTCGCAGACTGGGCAGGTTGTGGGCGGTCCGCGAGGCAGCGGGAGAGGGGCGGCAGCAGCAGCAGTGCAGAGTGAGGCGCCGTGAGGCCATTTTCAAGGGCAGGAGGCCGCGGGAATCTGATCAGTGGCTAGGCTTGGGGCCAAGGCGGCGGGCACAGGTCTATAGCTGGACTCATCATCGCATGCGACCGACCGCCATTACACAGCTCGCACCAGGGTAGTAGCGGTGGTGGTCGTCTCGCCAGCGCCTGCCCGTTTGAGCTCCTCTACCGCTGCCATTATCCTCTCCTTTGCTGTCGCTGACGTGCTCACGCCTCGCTCAGTGCCCTTGATCGCATCCAGCAGCTGCTGCACTGCTGCTTGCGTGGCGACCCCCCCGGCGCTAGTGGTCACATCGGGGCGGTGCCGACCAGCAGTGCGGGCGCTGCGCCACTGCACGGCGCCGCGCGATTGCAGGCTAGAGTGCTGGAAACATGCTACCGATGGTGCGCGTTGGGAAATCATGGGGCTGTGCAGCGCAGCAGTGAGTCGAGAAGATCAACCCGCGTGCTAAGCCTACAGATCGCTGAGCGGTGTGTATGAATGTGATTTTCTACCCGCCAGTACTGTTTCTGTATAGTGCACATTTGTTCGTTCGGGCTCGTGACTCTGGTGACGCTTGGTTTCTTTCTGCTCCGCTTTCCTGCTGCATTCCGCACCCTTATCCGGCTATAAACGCGTTTGGAAGCTCTGATCGCGCCTGTTGACGTGTGACTGCCTGTGCAAAACGGTCAAAGTGTCAAACTGTGATCTGGACATCCGCAACTTCGCCCAAGTTGAGCCATGGCGTTCATCGGAAGGATGCTGCGGGCCCGCGCAAGAAACTCTGCGGCGGCCCCCGAGCTGGCGCTGACGCAGGAGACCTCGGGCTTGTCGGGGCGGCAGCTGGCTGCGGGCGTCAAGGCGCTGCAAGTGCTGCACCTTGATGAGCGGCACAACCAACTGCTGCCCAGTGACGTGCTGTGCTTCCTGAGGGCTGTCGGACTGGTGAGCCGCGCACTCATGCGCTGCAAACCCACAGATTTTCACACTGATTTGCGTGGTGACCCCACCCGCATTGCGTGGCTGTTGCCCTGGAACCCAAAGTCATGACTGCTGACGCTGTGCGCAGAACCCCACTCCCGATGCGCTTGATGTGAAGCTGCGCGCCATGAAGCTGCACCACGCCCAGAGCATCACATGGGGCCAGCTGACGCACGTGTGGTGAGGCGTGACTCAGCTCGCGCATGCGGGATGCGGCCAACCATTGCGCCGTTAGTTGGTGCTGCTCGCGCCACAGTTGACTTCTTGATCGCTGCGCCCACGCACCCTCAGCGCACTCGCACTCACTCAAACCACCCCACACGCCCGCGCGCAAACGCCAGGAGCGCCCTGCTGCGCGATGTTGCGGATGAGGAGGACCTGCTGGTGCGCGCTTTTGAGTTTTTCGACAAGGTGCGCCTGGGCTGGGGGCGACATGACCCCTGGGCATACGGTAATCACAAACATTGTTGCAGGGAGCACCTGAGGTTTGGCCAATGCTGCCACCGCAGCGGCAGCAAGTGGGAGACCTCAGCCTGGGACGGCGCGTCGTCAGTGACTGGCAGCACTGCTCGCGGTTGCGCTGCTGTGGCCTCTGGTTGGCGCGACGAGCGGGTGCGATGCCCATTCCTCCCAGGACGGCAACGGGGAGATCAGCATCGCCGAGCTGCGCACCACCATGGCTGAGGTGCTGACCGGGACGTGCTTGCGCCACGTCCTCCCAGGCATTGCTGAGCTTCCGCGGGGGAGGGGGCGGCGCCAGTGCAAGCATCACTCGACGCATTGCAGCCAGTGGCCCACTGGCGGGGTGACGGTGCTTGCAGCCCGCAGCAGACCACCCAACTCCAGACTCCTAAAGCGTCTCATCCTGTTGCCACGTTGCCCGCCTGGCTGCTTGCACCCAGCTGGGCGGCCTGCTGAGCGATGCAGAAATCATGGAGTTTGTGGGCCTCATGGACGTGAACGACGACGGCGCCATTGGGGTACGCCGGGGGCGGCTGCACGGAATGCTGAATGAGCGGGGCTTTGACTGTCAGCCCCAACAGGGCGCCTTGAGCGCGACCACAGCTTCGTTGACCAAATGAGGCTGTACGCCTGTCTGCCCTGCAAACGCTCTGTCCTGCGTCACCGCGGTTGCCTGAGATTCAAGCCCGCCTCAAACCAGGCCCTTGCCACCCCCTTGCCTTCGCGCCCTCTAGTATGAGGAGTTCATCCAGGTGCTGCGGGCACAGGGGTCGTTTGGGGCGAGCCGCGCCAGTGTGATGGGAGAGGGGGGGCAGCCTGAGAGCGGTGATGGCGTGCCCCATGCCGATGACAGCGGCGCAGCCGGGGCCCCACATGCGGCGGAACCCTGCGTGCAATGGCGCGAGCCCGGGGGCGATGGCCAACCGCCGCTGGAGAAAGCTGCCCCCTCTGCATTTCAAGCGGTGGGATCTGTGGAGTGCAGTGTGCAACCTGGGAGCGGCTGCCGCGAGCAGTGCCACGACTACGTGAGCAGCTGCTGCAAAGACGGTGCTGCTGCTTCACTTGGGGCAGAGGGGGCGCACCATCCCTGCGGGCCCCCTTTTGCAGTGCAGCAGCAGCAGCAGCAGCAGCAGCAGCAGCAGCAGCAGCAGCAGCAGCAGCAGCAGCAGCAGCAGCAGCAGCAGCAGCAGCAGCAGCAGCAGCAGCAGCAACAAGGCCACACACGAGCACCATCGGTGCTTGGCCAATGAGAAGGCGTGCAGATTACAGTGTCGACATTCTGCTCAGGTTTGCGCCACCAGGACTGTGTATAGTGGCATTGAAAATGGTCAAATGCATGGACACAAGCCCGTCCTGCTTTGCATACACACACATGCACGCTCACAACAACTCGTCAAGCATTATCAAGTACCATTCCCAGACCGTGTAATAAGGCAAGTCATTAGCACATGTCGGCGCAAACCTGAGCAGCTGTCACAATGCCTCGTAGGAGGCAATTGTGTCCTCAATGGCTGCAAAGCTGGCCAGCAGCTGCCCTTCATCCATGCCGTGTGCCTCGTACTGGTGCAGGAAGGCGCGGGCGGAGGCCATGCGGTAGGCGCGCTCCTGCATGCGCCTGAGAGGCGCGACGCAAGCCTGAGGGAATTTGCAGAGGAGGGGGAGGGTGCGTCATGCACAAGGCAGGGGATGCTGCACCCGTCCGGAGTCGCTGTGATGGATTCTGCGTGACAGTTGTTGTGGGTGGGCGTGCGCAAGAGCATGCCGCAAAGCGGAATAGCACGATGGGGCGTGCAGGTGTGTGTGCTTGAGTGCGAGCGAGCGCACAGACTTTGACCCTGTGCACCTGGTCAGTTGCAAGGAGCGTCGCAGCCATCTGGCAACCCCCGAGCCTGGACGCGCTCGCGGCCACCACCAGTGGATCTGCCGCCCAGCTTGCGTGCCACCTGCGACAAACGCAAGGCAGTGAGCAGACTCGGATTCTAGGCAGGCGTGGCCGTGTAGCCAATACTTTGCGACGGCCTCACATTTCTAGGACTCAACAGATTTTATCAACGTGATAACGCACACAACCGCTCCGCCCCAATTTGTCAGCGCTATTGCGAACCTTGCAGGTGCTAATCGCTCACCTCGGGTCCGCAAACTCTGCCGCGTCCACCTCTGCCGCCTGCTGGCCGCGCAGGAGGAGCATGCTGCTGGCCGCCTTGTTGCGGTAGCGGTGCGCCGGCAGGGGGGTGGCCTTGGAGGGGGAGGCCCCGGGGGCGGCTGCGGGGTTTGGTGCCCACTGCATGCCCTCCTCCAGGAAGCTGCCTGGTTGGGGCGTGTGTTGGAAGAAGGGGGCGTAAGGGCGTCACCTCATAACTTGCGGGCTCTGCATTAATGGGTTAAAAGCTGCGCGTGGCTGGGCAGCAGGCTGCCCGGTGGACTAGAGAGACGGCGTCCGGTGGTGCAAGCACACAGGGCAGGCCCGGGTCCCTGGCCATGCTTGGGGCCCCACGCACCCGTGACGGCCATCTGCCTGAGCCGCCTCAGCAGCGAGTTCCAGGTGAACGTGGTGAAGTCCAGCGTGCCAGGGGCCAGCTGGGGCACATGGCGCACAGAAGCCAGGCGGAAGCTGCCGGCCGAAAAGATGAGGCAAAGCGCATGGCCCAATCATCAATGGCATACGCACGGGGCGCCACAACTCATGCACGACGCGGCAATAGCAGTTTTGCGTGTGCATCGCAGGGCTGCGGGGGGCTGCAAGCAGGAGCTGCTGTGGCTGCTGCTGCTGCAGCTGCTGCAGCTGCTGCAGAAATGACAGCCGAGCGCTGTTCAGCCGCACCTGGGGTGTGCTGTGAGGTGAGCAGCCAGGTCTCCAAGCGGGTGCAGCGCCACGCGGCCCAACGAGCCCCCGGCCGCCGGCTGCGGTTGCTGCCGCCCCGCGCCGGCGCCCGGCCCAGGCGCGGCGCGCGGGGGCGACTGCGCTGGGGCGCCGGCGGCGGGGCGCGGCCAGGCGGGCAGCAGCGCCGCGGCCAGCGCCTTGGCGGCAACGCCGTTCAAATCCTGGGAAGGGTGTGGCGGCGCCATGGCAGGTGGCAGGTGAAATTTGACTGGCGCATACAGACCTTTAGGACAAAAGATTGTTGTGGCGCTGCAAGAGGGCAAGCAGAATCGCAAGCTTGCGCGCCGCAGGCACGTGTAGCAGAGCCTTAAGCTGTTGCTATGGTTGCGGGTGCGTTGTGGCCGCACCGTGAAGCCGGGGCGCTGCACGCCGAGCAGCTTGGTGCATGTGGCGTGGAGCACCTCGTTCTGCAGCAGCAGCAGGCCGTCGGAGACAGACGACAGGTGGCTGAGGGTGAGGAGGGCGTTGTAGGGCTGCACCGCCACCTCGCCAGACTCGTACGGCCTTGAGAGGGCGGGGCAGCGGGCGGCGTACAGTGAGGGGGTGGAACAGGTGCTTCTAAGGAGAGCCAGTGGTGATTGTTGGTGGCACGCTCATGGACAAGGGGTGCGCGCGTGTGATGCCGCGGCGGTGTGCTCACGCAGCTGGAGCTGCTGGGGGCTGAAACAGACAGACCGCTGGGGTCACCCGCCATACTCCTGGCACTGCGTGTGTCGTCTTCTGCCCTCACATGCATGTGCCGCCCAGCGGTCAGCACACCGCCCCGCCTGCGGTCAAAAGTGCCGCCCAGAGCCCCCAGCGCGGCACCCACCACACGCACACGTTGACCAGCGGCCCCTGCCTGAAGTCGTCCGCCAGCGCCTCTGCCAGGTATGTGCCCAGCCCCGCCCCCGTGCCCCCCGCCACAGACTGCAGCAGCAAGAAGCCCTCCAGCCAGTCGCACGCCTCCAGCTGCACGCGGCCGGGTGGAGGGCGGGGTGTGCACGTGGCAGGACGGGTGGCGTGTGAGGCGTGCCCGCTGGGGTGGTCAGCGGCGCGCAACGCTCGCTAGTGCATGTGCCTCTCTAGCTGGAGCCATGCGGCTATCGCGCGACAGGTGCAGGGTCTTCCAAGGGGCTGCCGTGCGGCCGGCAGCGGGCAGCGTGTCCCGCTCATGCTGCAATCGCCAGGCGATCGTGCGCTGCGGCGCCCGCACTTCGCGCCGCACGAGGTCGAGGGCGTCTGCGCCGACCCTGGGGCCGAAGTGGTTGTGGCCCTGCGCCCAGTTGTTGCCGCTGCCGCTGTGGCGGCACAGGGAGCCGCAGCCCGCGTAGCTCCAGGGCGACGGCGCGGCGCGCGCTGAGGCGACCGCGGACTCCATTACCTGTTTTTCGGCGCATGTGTCGGGCAGATGGTTGGGTGAGGAACATGCGTGGGGCGCACATGCACGTGCATGTCCATTGGTCGAGCGCATGCAGGCGGCGAGATGTATGCTTGGGAGAAATTGCGGCAGGCGCGGCTTGCTCGGTACAGGGTGAGGTGGCTGGGGAATGCGCTCGTGCTGCCCAGCACGCAACACGTTTGCTGACTGCATGTGCAAAGTTGCAGCTCGGCGTACTGCATGCGCACACCTTGGGTTCCATGTCAATGAGGACAGCACGGGCCGCCCATGGCTTGCGCTCCGTTGCGCGTGCATCGCCCGCCGACCCGCCGCCGCGTGCATCACTCCGCTCGCGAAAGAAGGTGCTCGCTGCATCAGGGTCCTGCGACAGCGCCTCGAACAGGCTGCAGCCCAGCTGATTGCCGCACTGCCCAATTTGCAGGGTGATGACCGACATAACACTGGCCAGGCCATACTACCGTAGTAGATCAAGCGCGAAACAAAGATCGCCTCGGTGGGCTTAGGTCCGCTGCATTCATTCTGGCAGTATATGTAACAGAACGGCGCCACCAGTGTTTCAGCCGCCTTGCAACCTGCTGCAGGCTTTGCTTCGGCAAGGGTCGCTTGCTGCAGTTGGGGCCTGGTGGTGGCGGTCAAAAGTCGGTCGCATTACACTTGCGGGAAATGAGTGGGCAAGTGGCTGTGCTAAGGCACCGCATGGACCCAAGTGACCAGCCGTCCGTCTACAGTCAGTGAGGTTTCCCGCGGCACGCTGCACAAGGGTGAGGGATGGCCGCACCAGGGCCACTTACCTAACCCATGTGCAATAAACCCGCCTGCGACAAACGGGCAAACTTGGTCGCCAGGTTGCCGGCCTCCTTTTTTCTGTGGGATGGAGGGGTCACTCAGGCTGCAATCAAGGCTGCCAGCCGGCCAGAGATGATGCCGGCTGCCGAGCCCGCGGAGGCAGCAGCGCAGTAGGCTTGATGCGCCCCCCCCCCACCTGCACTGCCACAATCGCATCCACTCTGATTTTGAGCCCCTGCTCACAGCCATTATTATTCCCAAGGCCGCCGGCTCATCACTCACGAAATCTGCGGTGCGCCAACAGTGCACACATCACATCGTCCTCGACGCCCAGGGCATTACCAAAGAAGCGTTCGGGCAGGGCAGCGTTGCAACTTCCCAGGCGCTAAACCCCGCCCGCCGCCGCGACGCCGGCCTTTGCTGTGCGCAGGAAGCTCTGCAGTGACGCCAGCCGCTTGTCAATGTCGGCGATCTCAGAGCTCGCATCCTCAAACACGCCGCCGCCGCTACCCCCTCCGAGGCTCGCCGCGCTGACGCCGCCCCCACCTGCACCGCCTGGCGCTGCCAATGCAGGGCCGCCTGTGCCCGAGCGCGGCGCGGCCGCAGTAGAGACTAGCAGCGCCGGCTGCAGCGGGGCACTGCCAGGGCCTGGCCCCGGCAAAGGTGCTACCGCTCTGGCCGTCACCGGCGCCGCCGCAGAGCTTGGACGCTGCTGCTGCTGCTGCCTCGAAACATAGTCAGAGAGCTTGCGCTGCACGCTCTGCAGCGCTCGGCCCGGGGACGCCGCTGCGCCGCGACCTGGAGGTTGGGTGAAAGGGCGTTGACGCGCGAGGCAGCTCCGCTTCAGCCGGCAAACATGAGTGCAATCGTGGTTCGAACGCTGCCTTGTTGGCGACCCTGATGAGGCGACACGAGACCACATGAGGCCGTGTACCGCCCACTACTGCCCGCCCACCACCACACACCTGATGAGCCCCAAGCAGGCTGCGCTGCTGGCTGCGACCAACCACCCCTGCCTGCAGTCGACGCAGGGCTGGCGGCCGCCGCTGCCGGCTGCCCTCCCTGTTGCCGCCCCACGCTGCCCTGCCGGCTGCCGCCAACGGCCCCGCCGCCATCACCGCCGGCCGAGCCGCTGCGTCCCCTGGACCCCGGCCGGCTCTGCGCCGGCGACGCCGCGACCGACGACGCCCGCGACCGCGGGGGCGTCGCGCCCCTGCTGCCGGCCCCGCCGCCGCCGAACACCGCCCCGCGGGCAGTCGCGGCGGCGAGCTCGCGCTCTCGCTTCTGCCTGACGTACTCTGTGGGGTCGAAGCGCGGCGCAGACCCAGCCCGCGGCGACGACGCCGCAGACGCGGGCGCCGACCCGCGCGGCCGCACGTACCCCGGCGACTGCGTGCGGCTGCCAGCTTGGCCGCCAGCCGGCGGGCGGGGCGGCGCGTAGCCGCCGCCGGGTCGGGTGGGGGTGTTGCCGCGGCTGCTGGTCGCGGGCGGGCGGCTGCTGCTGCCCCCTGCGGGGTACTTGCTGCTGCTAGGGAGGTACGAGGTCGCGCCCGGCCACCTGGAGTTGGGGGCATTCAACACGCATGTGACACAGAGCAGCCGCTGCTTGACAACCCTTGAGACACTGCAAGCGCCAGGCCTGACGCCACTCGTGCGCAGCGGAGCACCGCGTCGCAACTCTAGCCTGGCCCCACAATCCGTGGACCACATCTTCCCCTTCACCTGTATGCCTCCCCCACACGGCGGCCGGTGCTGGCCGACCGCTGCGCTGCGCCCTGTGGCGCCCGCCTGCGCGCCAATTCCAGCTCCTCCTCCAGGTGCCTGCGCCAGGAACCGTTGCGACACTGGGCATTTCAATCGCAGCAACGCGACAAGAAGGTGCCGGACATGCCACCATCCAACAGGACTTGGCAGGCGCACGCTGGGGCTGCCGCTCTCGTCGTGCGGGAAGCCAAGAGCCAACGTGCGCAGCGCCGGCCGCTCGGGCCGTTGCCCCCTGGGCTGCCTCCAGGGCCCTGACCTGCATCTGCTCCTCAGCTCCCGCACAGCCTCCCGCGCCAGCTGGAGCTCATCGTGCACCTGGCACCAACACACACGCGTGGTTGCAAGCGGTTGTTCATCTGTCACCAGGGGGACCCGATCATGTGTTCAGGGGCTGCCATTTGGAACGGCCGAGTGGCAGCCATATGAGCGCCGAGCACAGGCTCCCCAGGACGCTGGTCATCGGCCGTCACTCGGCTCGCTTCCAACGTGAGAGCTGCATGCACCGACGTACCGCCCGCTGCCCCGCCTCGCCCACCTCCTGCCACTCCTTGGCCTTGCGCCGCAGCTCCCGCCGATGCAGCCCCGCCTCGCGCTCCGCCTCGACCTCCGCTGCCTCCAGCCGCGCCCGCAGCAGGTCCCGCTCCTTCAAGGCCTGCCGAGGGAGGGAAAACAGGCACACGGCGTGGGGTCGGCAGAAACATGATGCAAAGGGTGAAGAGGATTTGCCACAGGTGCTGGCAGGTGACGCAGATGGTTGCTGAGCGTTGCCGCACAAGCACTCAGTGTGCATCCAGTCACCTCAGCCGCTCCGTCGCGGCCGCCTCACCGCTTCGAGCCGCTGCGAAAGGACGTCCGCCGAGGCGCCGCTGCTCGTCGCCAGCGCCCCACTGCCGCGCCGTGCGTCCAAGGCATCCTCCTGCAGGTCGTCCTCCAAGCCGCCACCCCCGCCGTTGGCCATCCCAGCATCCCCGACACGGCCCCCGTGCCTGCTCCGCGCCACAACGTCAGCGCCGCTGCGCCGCGACCTGGAAACTGGGCTGCTGCGCTTCCCGCCGTCGCCGGCGCCGCCGCGGCCCTGCAGGCGCGCGTTTTCGTCCCGCAGCTGCGCGATCAGCGCCACAAGGCGGGCGGGGTCTGGCCCGTCCTCCTGGGCCAGTGGCAGCGGGTAGTGCACCCGATCGAACTCAGATGCGTACGTCAGGATGAGGTAGCGCTTGCCCGCCGACGACGCGGGCAGGGGCCTCGCGGCCGCTGGCGGTTTCCCTCCCCCTGCGACCCCGCCGCCGCCGGCCGCCTGCTGCTGCTGCTGCTGCTGCTGCTGCTGCTGCTGCTGCTGCCGCTTCTTGGATTTGAGCGCCTCCAGGTCCTGATATGTCAGGAGGTCCATGAACACGGCGTCTGACTGCTGGCGCGCAGCGGACAGCAGCATGCGCACAAACACGCCGAACTTCTTGAAGCTGCCTGTCTTGCAGGTGATGTCCTCCACGTCTGGACGGGCGGGGTGGCCAGGATGGGGGTGGGCAGGATGGGGGTGGCGCACGCGGCGTCAACCACCCTCCAACAGTCTGGTGGCCTGTCCGCCGTCAGTAGCTGCAGATGAAAATGCATGCTTGTCTGCTGCAACCACAGCTCTATGTTGTGGTTGAGGCCGGGCGCGCGGCGCGGCTCTTGCACGTTCAGCTAGACTCACACTTGGCGCTGAACTGCCCCCGCCACCGCGCCAGGCTCTCGCACTCCTCGATCTCCACGGTGAGTGTATCATCCGCATCGGCATGCACCACCATTGTATAATGCACGCCATGGAATGAGATGTCCACCTGTTGAACAGTGAGCAGCATGCACCACAACGACTACGTCAGGGGTCAAACGCGCCAAGCGCCCCTGGTCGGCTGCCCTGCTCGCTCTGCACATACCGTGTCGTGCAGCTCCTGCCCAGTCGCCGCGCCTTCCATACTGGCCGCAGCTACGATGAAGGCCAGAAGCAGCAACCCATACGGGCCCAAAGATCGTCACTTCAACATATGGCGGAAAATCAAATGCAATGTGATAACTGGATAACTCCCATGAGATTGTATGATACGCACGACGAGCACGGCCAAGGACAACTACTGTACTGATGTTTGAAGGCGTCTGCAGTAGCAAATATAATTTCACAGGGATGCGTTGCAAAGGCGGATACGGTATACTAGAAAGAGTTCTCCAGAATTGTTGAGGGCCAGATCACTTACGCGCGAAGATCTGATGCCAATGACAGACGCGGGGCCAGGCGGCGAGCTGGAAGAGGAGGAAGCTTGGGGAGACATCCATGTCGACACCAAAAAGTGAGCCAAGGCTGTCAGGCATGCCAGCCACTACTCTCGTGGCGCCGTCCTCGTCGCCCGCAGGTGGGCTCACAAGACGCGCTCTCGCTCCCCGCAGGTTCGCAGCCGTCGACCGTGCCGTTGGCGCAATTGTAAAAAGCCGCGCCGCCCGCAAGGCAAAGGAGGCGGAGCTGAGGGCGCGCGTCGCGCAGCAGCAGCAAGAGCTTAGCGAGGCGGCGGCGGAGCGCCTCGCCGCCGCTGGCGAGCGCGCCGCGGAGGCGGAGGCCGAGGCCGCGGCCCGGCGCGAGGGGCATGCTGCCGACATTGAGGGCATGGAGGCGGAGGTGAAGGGCGAACTGGCGGGCGGCGTCGGCGCCGGTAGGACGGCAGCGCCAGAGCCAGCGACGCTCGAGGCGGTCATACAGCCCGCGCCGGTGCGCCACGCGCAGCCTTTTGGGCATGGCGCCCCCTGATGGCGGCCTCCATGCATGCCGCGCATGCCGGACATGTGGTGACTTGAGGTCATGCTGAGCTGTGAAATGGGAAGCAGCGCAAGCAGCCTGCATGCGTGCAGCAGTCCGACGAGCCCGCACCCCGACAAGCGGTTGAAACTTCCCCCCACAGCAACCCCCTCCTCAACGCCCTCCCACGGCTGCCGCCCCCAGCCGCCGCCCGTCATCGACGTTGCGGCCTTGCCGGCCGTCCAGCAGCTGGCTGAGCTGTCGCCGCAGCTGACCCCATGGGAGGCGTTCCGGCTGCTGCTGGCCCAGCGCGCAGCGATGCCGCGGCCGCCGGACGAAGCGACCGCGCGGGCGGTGTTTGCGGCGGCCTGCCACTCAGACGAGCCCCAGCTGGCGCAGGATGCGGCAGCAGCGTTTCTGGGGTGGTGCGGAGCGGGGCCGCTGGCGGCAGGTGAGGGCCCCCGCGAGCCGTTGAGTTTGGGGCGAGCTGAGCGCAGCCGTGGGTTTGGGAGAGTGGGGCGTTGCACCCTCCATGCAGAGGCACCGCAGCCGCACTCCTCCAAAATCGTTGCCGCCGGTTCGCTCTTCTGCCATGTTGTCCCAAGCCGACTGCGGCCTGCTGCTGGAATCGCTGGACATAGAGGGGCCCCCACCGCCGCCGTCGACCCCGTGGCTGCCTGGCGCCCAGGACTTCCTGGACGCGCTTTTCGCGATGGGCTGCAGCAAGCCGGCCCCACAGGCCGCAGCTGGTCGCGGCGGCGGCAGCCGTGGCGGGGGCGGCGCTGGGGCAGCGGCAGCGGCGGCGGCCCAGCAGCAGCAGCAACAGCAGCAGGAGCATCAGCAGGGCGCCGCAGGCGGTGCAGGTGTTGCGGCAGGGTACCGTGACGCCAACCTCCACCTGCTGCTGCAACTGCTGGCTTCGCTGTGCCAGCTGTCGTCCGCCGGGCGGCTGCCCGCCCTGCAGCTGCCCGAGGGCCACGGCCGCCAGCTGGCGGCCGCGCTGCTGCACCTCCACGCCGACCCGCGCGCGCGCGCCGCCGCGCTGCCGCAGCTGCACGACGCGCTCGCTGCGCTGCTGGACGCGTTTGGCGAGACCGAGTGGGGCCGAGTGCTGCCCGACCTCGCGGCCCGCCTGGCGGCGCCGCTGGGGCCGTCCCACCGGGCAGCGCTGGGCGTGCTTCTCGAGCTGCCAGCCACCGGGGCGAGCGGGCGGGCGTGCGCACTGCAGCGGGCGGGGGGGATGCAGCTGCTGCACCGGCTGGTCAGGCGGGAGCCGCCGGTGAGCGGGGCACGCGGGAAATGCTTGTTAGGGGGTCACAGCGCCCCCAGGGGCTGCCCAGCCGCTTGAAACCTCTGGTTGTAACCAAATGTGATGGGTCCCAGGAGGACGTGGTTTCCAGCATTTCCTTGTCAGCATGGAGCTGCCTCGTTGCGTGCTCATGACCAACGCAGCAAACCCCCGGCACCCCTCGTGGTCCCCCTTTCCCAGCCGGCGCCCTCGGGCCGCGCCCGCGCCGGCGCCGCGGCCGGCCCGAGCGCGCTCGACGCGGTCACCGCCCTGGGGTCGGACGACCAGGCGGTGGCGAAGCTCGTGCAGCGGCTGACGCCCAGCGGCGACGCAAGCAAGCGCGGCGGTGGCGGTGGCGGCGGCAAGGGGGCGGCGTCGGCGTCGACGGACTACTGGGCGCTGCAGTCTGCTGTGGAGGCGGTGGACATGGTGCTGTGGAGCTTCGTGGACCGGCCGGGCGGCGAGGGTGAGGAGGGCCCCTGTTTCTTGTCCAAGGGTCGGTGCACCACAAATCGTACAATGCTGTTTTGGGGGAACTGTCTTTACAAGCATGGAGAGGCATCTGGCTGACAGACGGGGTGCTTGCGCCAATGGGTTGGGCACCGGAGGCTTGTCGGTGCAGATTGGCAGTGCTTTTTGTGCTCAGGCGGGCATGGGCAACAGCAGAGCACGGCGCCGACACACCGCAACAAGCCAGCTCTGTCGATGACCTCCAAGCGCCGCCACACCACCCCCACACGGCCAACAATGGCGCCCCAAAGGTCCAGGCCTGGACGAGCGCATCAGCGCGCTGTTCATCGCACACCTGCAGACCCTGACGCGGCTGCTGCGGTCCCAGGTGTCGGCCCATCACTTGCGTATGCGCATCTCTGAGCTTCAGAATGTGTACGAGCCCGAGTTCTTCAACCAGGTGTGCGTGTGCGTGCGTGCGTGCGTGCGTGTGTGTGTGTGTGTGTGTGTGTGTGTGTTTGTTGGTGAGTGTGGAATGCGCACACGGCTCGTGCGCACTTGCTTGCTCACTGGCACTTGTGCACATGTGCTTGGTACAGCTCGTGTCTGTGTCTGCAATCGCCCTCGCACTTGGCAGGCATATACAATCGCCGTTTGCTGATCGGATGGGCAAGTGCTTGGCAAGCTCTTTTCAATGGTGCGCGAATATGCCGTGGTCTGCAGTGCTTCTGACCTGCGCCCGGCGTACCTGTCCCTCCCGGCGTTCCCTGCAGCTTTGGCAGCCGCCTGCGTGATGGCGGGGCACAGCGAGCGCAGCGGAAGCAGGACGCAGCGGCGGCAGGCGCACCACGAACGGCACCATCATTTTGGGTGGCAGCAGCCTCACAGCAGATGTGGCCCGTCCAGCTCGTTTGGAGGGCACAGAGTTGGACTTCAACAGGCCTTGCTTAGCCACAGCTGCTTTCTACTTGCATGTGGCACTCGCAATGCGCATTTTTCCTGCTGGCGGTACAAGCAAAGTAGGGCACCATGAGCATGAGGCAGGCTGCAGCCTGAGTATCAGCTGCGGGGGAGGAGGCCGACTGAAATAATGTCATTTTCGAGCTATCATACCTCCAAGCGCCTGGGCCGTGTTGGATGAATGGCCCGCTGTGCAGCCCCTTCCTGGCTTGCTTTGCCTCCTCGCATGCCCGCACCTGCTGTGGCTTGTATTTGGACTAAAAAGGTAAACATTACAGATGTTGGTGAAGATGAGTTTGGGCCCTTTGTGGTGCTGCTTTCAATTGCAGGACGCTGGGGAGCTGCGGGCTGACGCGTCCCCTTGGTTGACCTACTGACCCTCATCAGATGTCGTTTGACAGCGGGCTGCACGGCTGCCGGGGAGTACAAACACACGAGCCGATCGGGCCCAGGTTTGAGACATTTCCGGGCCGCTGCACGCAGGCCGCTTCTGTTCGTAACCAGGCATGACTGCGTCCGCTTCTAGCCCACGGGAACCCCCGACTGGTGATGCACAAGCACACATATCCAAACGATTCTAGCCCGAATACTAATTTCACTCTAAAAGGAAGCCTGTCACGGATTGACTCGTCACTGCAACTCATTCACAATCCCTAGAGCAGCAGGCACTCATTCAGCAGTGCGTGAACGGTCAGTGCATAGCTGTTACTGGAAATATGCGCACAGGTGAAGCCCTGGCCTTCAAATACGGGAGGGGGTGCTCCCCACCCCTGCATGCCCGGCGCCGCCTGAGGAACGGCGTGAGGGCCGCATCCGATGCCGCAGCGGCGGCAAGCCGGCCAAAACAGCCGCCACTGTACCCCGCTATACATGCATACGCCGCAGTCGTTCTCCTTGCCGCGGCGGCTTTGGTTTTCACGGTCGGCGCCGCTGCCCAGGGCACCAAGGGCCAGGCACTGCGTGGCTACACTTTTGTTTCAGATGTCACACGTGAGCGTGGTGCATGCAGCAGCCGTCCTTCTATGTGGTTACACAGGCGCACAACCAAGTCCCCATGGCAGCCGCGGCGCAGCGCCAGCGCCGGCAAGCTCACCCTATCACCAACCGACCCGCGGGCCCAAAGCCCCCACACCCCGCTCTGCATGCGGTGGGCGCACAAATCACCGATCATAAGCCCGGCGTCACCTCCGCACAAGGCGCTGGATATGCTGCCATGTCGGGAGCCCACACATCAAAGCCCGTGCTCCACGCCCTTTGATTGACCAACGCAGCATACCTTGGTGTCTCCAAGGACATCTGTGCTATTAAGAAGGTCATTAATTCAAGGGATCCCGACTACGGCGGCGCTCAGGTGAGTCGCCTCAGCCCGCGTCCCGCTAGCCGGTGCGCCGCAAGCAGCCCATGGCACGCAGAGCGAGCAGCTGCGGCGTCGCACGGGGCTCCTTGCTTTGGTGGGCGATGGGGTGTGTGGCGGCTCGCAGGCGGTCCCCGGTCGACCACACAGGTTGTTGCTGCTGTGGAGGTCAACAGCGCTGCTGTGCAGCAACCGGCGATGATTTCTGCGGCCCCTGATTAGGCTCCCTGTGCACCATTGAGGCCCCTGGCCTGGTGTATCGCGCCGCGCCTGGCTGCCCCTATCAAGTTTGCTGAACGCTGCACGTTCAGCGTGCCCTGGTGCTGCGCTCCCACCCACAACGCAGAACATCTACTCCACGGGGTCAACGGGCAGCCTGGCGCTGAAGACTCTCGGTGAGGGGCTGCGCGACCACAGGCCTGCCGTGCTCGCTTGCCGCCGGGATGATTCGTTTCCGCGCGCACTCGGGCGCACTGCATGCGCTGCCTCCAGCAAAGGAGCCACAAATGCAGCCTCGAGCTGACATGACCCTCCGCCTTGACGCCGTCTTCTCTGCCCCATTTCTCCTTACCATTGAGCAGCAACCAGTACTGACTCCCCAGGCGCCTTCTGGTCGACCAGCGCAAAACACTTCAGTGAGTGCTGGCTGAGTCGACTAATTGGCCCCTGCGGCGCAGATTGCATTTTGCTTCAGTGGCAGGGTTCATTTAGCAGCTGCAGTCCTTGCGGATAAGTGCCAGCACCGCATGAGGCGGGCAGTTCTGCTAACCACCTTGGCAGTAGACATCCTCAATCTTCGCACTCATGTGTGCACACACACACACACACACACACACACACACATGCACCCACGCACACTCACACACACACACACACGCACACACACGCACACACACACACACACACATGCGTGCCCTCTCGCACACCGGGGGTGTTAAGCCATCAAACATCAAGTAGTCCAAAGCGCCTTGCCTGCCCACACCTCCACCCGGCCCCCGCCAGAGGACCCAGCCTGGCTCGACACTGTGACGCAGGGCGCGCTGGACGGCGTCAAGCCCTTCACCAGCAACGTGCTGCGAGTACAGCTTATCGCCAAGACGCTAGAGAACAGCCTGCAGGCGCGCATCGCCACGTCGGCAGGCTGCATCCGTCGTTGCTTGCGCTTGTCATGTTGCCGTGCTGCTTGAGCTTTCGGCCGCGTACCTGCCGCCCGACGCATCCACACGTGCTGCGCCACCCGCAGTTGCCCATTGACCCGCTGCCCGTCGACTGCTCTGCATCACCCCATGTCCTTGCAAACAGGTTGCTCTGGTGATGCGCAGCCTTGACCAAGCCGTAGACCAAGTCAAGTGAGCAGTCGCTGGGGCCGGCTGCGAGCTGCTGGCCACTGGGGTGACTGCATTCGCATCCCGCACCCTCCTGCTCCGCGGTGCCCGTGAAAGAGCCTGGAATGCAGGGGCCTACCATCGCCAAGGTGGTCTCAGCAAGTGTTGGTCGGGGAGATAAGCTAGGCTCTTGTCAAGGGTCGTACTGATGCCATTTTTGCCACCACCTAATCTGCAGGGCGAAGAAGTTGGACGCCGCCACTGGTGCCCCGAGCAGCGTCGACAGGGCCTGGGCCGTCTTCGTTGGCGGCGAGCCCGCCTGCGGCCTGTGAGCGCAGCTGCCCACCTTGTAGAACGGCCTCAGATGATGTGATAGCTTGTCCTTGTGGGGTGGGGGTGCGGGCCCAAACCAATTGTGAGGGGGCCAGCTGCATGTGTCAAGGGCTTGCGGCGTCAGGAACCCCCGACCTCTCAGCTGAGTGGTGGGAGCTGGGCACCGCAAGACGGCCTCGAGGCAATTAGACTTGCAGCACAAGCCTTTCCACCAGCCAGGCCTAGCCTCACACCTGCACCCGCCCCCATCGTGTCCCACGCCCATTGCGCCCGCATTTCCCCAGTTGGGCCGGGTCCCTCAAGCGAGCCGCCCTGTTTGGCACCAAGACTGACTGCGACACGAGGTGCGGCCAGCGACATGATCTGCACGCCATCGCCCCACGGCGCCTCACCCTGCCCAGGCTTGGCCAGGGTGTCGGCTGCACCGAACCTCCCCCCTGTTGTTGCCGCCACGAGCTCATTTATCATGTGCAGCAGCCTCTGGCTGCAACAGCCGTCTGATCCACAATTCCGGCTCTGCCCCCAGCTGTCGCACACATCACCGACAATTCACGATATTGCACACACCCTCCCCATTACCCCCTGGTCCCCACCCCTGCAGCAACGTGGCGGCGAACGTCCGCGCCGCCATGATCTCGGCGCAGAAGGCTGCGGCCAAGGGGGACTTGGCCGCCCTGACCGCGGCGCGCAACGCTGTCCAGGGGCAGCTGGCGGCGGTCTACGTCCAGGTGCGGGCCTAGGGTGCACGGGACGGGGGGGGGAGGCGAAGGTGTCAGAGGCACAATCGGAGCCAGAGTTCTGACACGGCTGGTTTGCGGCAGGGGCGTGTGCGTTGTAGCTATATCCCTCAACCCCTGGGGTTGCGCAGAGCGCGCTGACCTCGCGCATGAGGAAGCCCCGGCCGTCTGATCGTTGCCCTGCCCCAAACCTTAAATCTGTGTGATCAAAGCGCTGACGAGCCCTGCCCCGCCCTGCCCCCCTCCACCCCGCGCCCCTGGCCAGGCCACCATCGCGTTTGCCCACGAGATGTACCTGGACAGGGCGGCCCAGGCCGACAACCTGGAGCTGCCCCCCACCCTGCCGATAGAGGACCAGGTGGGACCTGAGCGCCCTGCTGCCTGCTGCCCGCGACACAGGCAGCAGTAGCTGCAGCCACGGGCCGCGCTGCACCCGTCCCCTAAATCCGCTGTCGTCGGGCGCCCCAAGCCTTCCTTAGGGTGCCACACAGCGGAAGTGCCGCCATCACACACGCGCCGAGGCGGCAAATCGGCCCCTCCCACCCTCCTCACACGTGCTGCAGCGTGCGCAGCCCTGGCAAGCCTCTTTCTCAAGGGGGTATGTCATTGGCTCTGAAACGGCAGAGCTCATGCAGCCAATCCATCGCTGCACTGACCCCACACTGCCCCTCCTCTCCCGCGTGCAGGCCCAGGCCTATGCATTTTTCCGCGTGATCGCCCCCCTGGTCTTCCAGGCCAACGCCACAGCAGGCCAGGCCATCAACTTCTTGCTCTACCCAGGTCAGACCAATTTTTTGGTTGAAAGAGGGACCAAACGCCACTGACATATCAATACATCTGCGTATGCGTTGCTATTGGCCGTCTCCTGGCTGTCTCCTTGCTCTGATACCTCCGATGTGACTAGGCGGCGCTTGCGCAATCGCAAGCAGTGGACCACGGCCCACTCACGCATCTCCGATGCCGTTTTCCTAGAGGCGCTCCACAGCTCCCGCAAACCTGTCGCCTTGAGCCGCCTGGCCCATCGCTCGACCTGCCTGGCATGGCGGGCCTGACACAGGCTCACGAAACCCACCCACCCACCAATCAACCAACCCTTCAACCCCCAAACCCACATGTCGTGTCACAAGTCCCCCCAACCCCCAACCAAACCCTCAACCCATCGATCCACAAGTCCCCCAGCCAACCCACCAACCACCCTGTACACGCCCACCCACCCCAATTCCAGGCCAGCCTGCAGCCGACGACGTCGACCTCAGGGTGGGCCGCGCCCTGGCCTCAGTCTACAAGGGGCTGGGCGTAACACCCACAGACGTAGGGCAGTACGGCAAGCAGCAGCCTGACCTCGGATGCGCCGCCCCTGCCGGCGCAGCCACCCCCGCTGCACCAGCGACGGGTGGCGCCCGGCGGCTCGCGGCGGCCGCGCGGGCCGTTGCCACCGGGCCGCGGATGTTGGGGCGGCGGCTGAGGGCCGTGGCCTCGGTCCAGCATGGCAAGGCGGCGCGCCGCTGATACTGACGTCGGCCATCTAACGGGGCACATTTTTCCTGTGAAGGCCACCTGTCGGCCATAATGCTGGCAGTGTGGCCACCTTGGACTCTTCACCGCCCATACCTGCCGGCGGCACGCTCGCGGACCATGGCGGAAGCGCTTTGAGGGCAGGCGCACGTGAAGCCTGGGTGCACTAAAACATTGTTGTTTGTTAAGCCGCGGCTGCGTGGTGAAGGGGTGCTTGGTGTTCGGGCGCACAGCGCCGCAGTGAATTTGGACCTTCCTGGTACGATGACTTGCCCTTCTGCGCCACCGGCGGCGGCTTGGTTCATAGCAGCTCAGTGTCAGCTACATGAAAGCGCTATCATCTGCATCTTCCTTGCTGTAGCACTGTAATTGTTTGCCCAAATGCCTGCAAAAGTTAGGGGGGTTTTATATGCCCAGCAAAACTACCCGGTTTGCCCAATTCGTGTCCCGGCGGTGAACAGCCAGATTGACTACGTACGATTCTGTTGTGTGGTACGTCCTGTCGCTGTGTGGCAATGTTCAGGCGTGCGTGGTGTGGAGACTCCTTGGGAGGTGGGATAGTATGTTGCGCGTTGACTGGCTCTGGCCTCCCTCGGTAGTTTCGGGCATGGCGTGTGGCTGTTCATAGGCTAAAGCCAAGCAGCAGTAGTGCAGCTGCGTGGACCAGCGCTGAAGGATCAGGGTCGCGCTTGCGCAGCACCAGGGTTACACTACGAGCATGGGGGGAATGTAGGGGCAAATGAATGCCCGGCCCAAAGGCAGGGGGCGGTCGCGGGGCGCAGTGAGGCGGCGCAAAGCGCGGGGCACTGAAGCAGCAGCGAACCGAGGCGCCTGCCCTCCCCCAGGGCGGGAGGGAGGGAAA